TAATAGAAAAGTATATGCAAATACCTGTGAGTCACCAGTGTTGTGGTTGCCCAAACTTTGGAAATCTTCTTTTATATTTCTTTTGTTGGTGGGAGAGGAAGCTTATTTGTTTCCTTCCTGGGCCCTGGAATAAAATACGTTGTTGTCTGTGAAAGATACATGAACTCAGTACTACCAAATTTAGCCACCATCATCAATAACATCTCTGAAATCACAGTTTTCTGTGCTAATTGTATGATCTTCAACACTCATTAAAATAAATTCTTATTTTTTCATAGTCTACTCTATTTCCTAAAAATCATCTTTGCATTACCAGTTTGATGTTCTTTATGGAACATGGTCAGAGCTTAATGTCCATGGTGTAGTGCCTGTCTCCACCTCATTTTCCTTCTTCTCTTACCTCACCTGCTATATTTTCTCCAAATATGGTGGTAATTTCAAAAAACGTGGGTTTGTTTCTTAGTTTTGACTTTTTAATATTCCAGTGGAAGGCCGGATGCAGTGGCTTACTCTTGTAATCCCAACATTTTGGGAGGCTGAGGCGGGCGGATCACCTGAGGCCAGGAGTTCGAGACCAGCCTGGCCAACATGGTGAAACCCCTTCTCTACTAAAAATATAAAAACTAATCAGGCATGGTGGTGAGCGCATGTAATCCCAGCTACTAGGGAAACTGAGGCAGAAGTATCCCTCGAACCTGGAGGCAGAAGTTGCAGTGAACTGAGACCAAGCTATTGCATGCCAGCCTGGGCAAAAGAGCAAAACTCTGTCTCTTAAAAAAAAAAAAAAAAAATTCCAGTGGAGATTGTGCTTCTAAAACTCTATCTAAAGATGATCTAGGCTGCCTTGCTAGTAGAGTTCTAATTTGTGTCTGCAAGTGAACGTCAGGTGCGTGAGGTTTAAAAGGTAAAAAGCAGGGAAGGCATTGGTCTCCAGTGGCAGGTGCAGAAGTGCATGTGGGCATTGCTGGATGGTGAGCATGAGGTGGTGCCACAGTTTCCTGACTTCCTGCTGGGCATCAGCCACTTGGGTGCGAACATAATTCGCAAGATTTCCATCAGCCTTTCTGACTGCCTGCTCAGTCCTTCCCTGGTTGAATCAACCTTTAATTCTCTACATGAAATAATCCCTGCTAAATGCATCTAATGACTTCAGATTTTTTTTCTGAATCAGTTAGTGTTTTCATATTTGGTTGGTTGGTTTCGTCTTTTAAGTCACTAAACTTTCTGGGATTTCTTAAATTGTGGTAAAATATACATAACATAAAAATTTACTTTTTTTTTTTTTTGAGACGGAGTCTCGCTTTGTCACCCAGGCTGGAGTGCAGTGGTGCGATCTCGGCTCACTGCATGCTCCACCTCCTGGGTTCACACCATTCTCCTGCCTCAGCCTCCTAAGTAGCTGGGACTACAGACACCTGCCACCATGCCTGGCTAATTTTTTATATTTCTATTAGAAATGGGGTTTCACCATGTTAGCCCGGATGGTCTTGATCTCCTGACCTCGTGATCCGCCTGCCTCAGCCGCCGAAAGTGCTGGGATTACAGAAGTGAGCCACCGTGCTTGGCCAAAAATTTACTCTGTTAATCATTGCTAAGTGTACAGTGCATTCACACTGTTGTGTAATTGATCTCCAGAACTATTTTCATCTTGCAAAACCAAACGCTATTCCTATCTCCCCTTCCCCCAGCAAGCACCATTCTCCTTTTTGTCTCTATGGATTTGACCATTATATGTACCTCATATAAGAAGAATTATACAATATTTGTCTTTTGTGATTGGTGTATTTCACTTAGTATGATGTTTGAACCAGTTGTATTTTGTCATATTTAACATATGGAACCTTGGCCTGAGGAATAAAGCAAGTGTTTGATTTTGTTGATATAAAATAGATTCCTTTCCTAGAATTCTAAGTAGTTCTACCCATGCAAAAATATTCAAATGCTTTGTTTCTTACGTCCTCTGCAGTTTTCTACTACCCTGATTTTTAGTGCATCCAAGGGGCTGATGATAGCTAAGGATAACATGCCAGAGAACCTCTGCCCACTGGCAAGCCCCGGGAAACCTCTCCTTGTTGTGTTAAGTCTCCGAAATCAGGCACTCTTACCCATGCTGAGTGTTATCTAGACATAATTTCTCTCTAAATTCTATTACTGGCCTTTGGCTGCAGACAAATAAGTTAATTCACATCCATGTCAATAACTCAGTCACACTAAAATTGAATCAATGAATATAATTAGGACTCCAAGTATGCTGTAATTTGGCAATGATGGTACTCATAGTGAGGTGGTGAGATTAATCACTGGGTGTCGTAAATGAAATGTGCTGGTTCACAAAGAATCCAGCACAATTTCCCTGGCTGGAATGAGGGTTGGCAGTCGTGGGTTTTCCTGGATAGCGTCGGGCCCATACACTCTGGGGGAGCCTGAGTGCGCTACCGTGAAAAGATGCAAGCGTGAAGAATGTTCTCCATCACCTGGAGATTCAGGGTCAAATGAGTCAGTGTTCTCTTTTGGCTGCCCAGGTTTTGGGGGGTGCTAAATGTCTTTACCAGCCCAGGAAACCTGTGGTCCCCCAACTATCCAGTACAATGGAGGAAAATTCGAAATGAAAATACCTCATGCAAACTCGAAAGCTCATCCATGAAAAACTAACCACTTGTTCTGCACATGAATCTTCTGAATTTGGTTTTCTGGTTTACAAACCCACAGCAGATCAGAAATAGCAAGTTACAAAATGAAACAGAGCAAAGTATACATGAAATGACAATGGGCAATGAGGAAACTCTGGAAAATAACACAAACACAGCAGACGTGGGACATCCAAGAACATGTCCGTTTGGGTCATTAAATGTAGGAGCAAATAGCTCTACAGACTGCAGCAGGTATTATGTTTATCTACAAATTTCACCACCACACACACCACACGCTTACAAACATAAGCAGGTCTTATGTTTATCTACAAATTTCACCACCACACACACCACACGCTTACAAACATAAGCAGGTCTTATGTTTATCTACAAATTAAGAAACATGTTCATAATTACGATGTTCAGGTGCCCTGAAGAGACTGATAATCCTTGTAGTTTATGGAGTCAAGGGATGCAATAATATGTTTAAGCACAGTTCTATCTCCCACACATATTAACGGGCTCATACATGGTTCTTAATATGTATCAGGCATTATTATCTAGCATTTGACGGTGCTCGTTTCAGACAAAGAAAATGAGGCTCAGAGAAATTAACTAACTTTCTTAAATCACGGGGTCATTAAGTAATGAAGCATGAATTCAAACCCCAGCGGCCAAGCCCCAACCCTGCTTTTAAGTACCACAACACATAGCTCACTTGTGACACTTCCAGATAGCCAGAAGCTTTCTTCTATTGGAAACACATCCTACTACCCTCTAGAATAAAATTATTGGAAATACGTCTTTAAAAGGAAACTAACTAATGTAACTCTTTGGAGCCTGGGGGAGCCTGTGCTATTCTCATTAAGCATGAGTATTAGTGAGTTGATTTCAAAGTTTATTAAATGAGTAAGTGTGGGAAACAAATTAGGAAAGAAACTATTCAGAGGAATAAAAATGACAGAAACAGAAGTTTTAAGGTTATAATGTCCTCATGTTACAAAGCATGTGTCTGTAGGCTGATATAGGTCCAAATATATTGAATTCCTATGGACTGATGGTTTTGCACACACATTAGATCTCTTTTGGAAAGAATAAACACATACATTTGATAAAGAAGTTTGGTAGTAGTAAAAGAGATTGTGCCGTTGAGTGCAGGTGATTGTCACATTCTGTGGTATAAAGATAACCAGCTATGGAGTAGAGGGCTGGATTTGATTGCTGTCTCTACTATTTGCAAGCTCTTTGACTTTGTGCAAGTTAACTCCTTGTATCTTTCATTTTCTTATCTGCAAGACTGGGAAAATAGTAATATGTGCTTGCCAAGTTATGAGGGAGGATTAAATGAATTGGTCTTCATGTATTTCTTAAGACATGGTACTAGATCGGAGTTGGCAAGCTCTTTTCTGTAAAAGGTCAGACTTTGAAATATTTGCAACATTTCTGGCTACCAGGACAGAACTGCAGCCACTGAATTACAGAAGTCTTTTCTTTTCGTGGGAAAATAGCCATACAGCATACAGAAATTAATGAGCACAGTTGTGTTACAATGAATCTTCATTTACAAAAACAAGCTGTGGGTCAGACTTGACCTCAGGACTGTGGTTTGCTGACTGCTTCACAAGATAAATGAGGGTTAATATCATCAAAGGATTTTGATGAGAAGTCATTGGCATACTATATGAAAAGTATGTGGTACAGTATCTTGCCCGTGAAAGGTGTTTAGCAAATGATAGTTATTATTGTAAGGCAGATACTTTATATGTAACCTAGAAAATTACATATGGCTTTCCAATCATCAGATCCTCTGTCCTAGCTTCTTAATTTTCATCAAGGAAGGTTAAGAGACAAGGTTAACTTAGCTAAGAAGTAACTATGTGCAAGAATAAATGTAAGCAAAATGACAGAATTTGGTTACAGTTCCAAGATTCCTAGTTCAAAACAGAATAGGAAGAAAGGCTAATTTTCTCCTGATGTGGCCTTCCCTGACCTCGCAATATGTCCCCAGAAGGCTGTAGACCCTTTCTCCTTTATAAAACATTAAATGTGACTACCTTATATTAGTAACAGGTGTATTAATGGAGGTGCCGATGGCAGTCAGGAACAGGCTGAATGACATGAATTCTTCCCTTCATAAATGGGCATCTTTCCATGAAAGCACAACATCATTTGTTGAAGGTCAAGTAGACTAGAATTTCAGACCTGGAAACATTTGCCTTGAAGCATCAAAATAATTGAATACTGTAATGGCTCAGCACCTGGCTTAAAGTTATAATACCAAGATTTACATTATTCTTAGCCACAGGCATATTTTTCACCAGCTTTTAACAACCCACCTCCTTTTCCCCTTCCCTCCCACACAATAACTGGGATGACTTGTCTAGATCTTAGGCAAAAATTCACTTAGCACATCAGCTCCTGGAAACAAATGCACTTAACCAGAAAAATAGGGACATCAACCAGCAAAGATGCATCCTCATTTAATAGAGCTTGAAATTACTATAATCTGTAAAGTACAGTGAGAAGAAGAAGTTTCACCTGCCTGCACATCAGTCATTGATTCTCCATTTGACTTGGAGGGACTCTGAGGGACCGACCTGAGCCTGAGAAGAGGCAAGATTCCCCTTCAAGGACACACTGGGAACTTACGGACCTCTTTCTCCATGGTGCAGAGCACAGAGGTAATTACATAATTGTCTGTTCAATTACTTTATTCAAGAATCACAATCTCAAATTCCATAAGCCACCAGAGAAATGGCATCAATGAATGAAGCAGTTCATTTTAGGGACTTCAATTAACGGAAAGGGGTGTGTCCCAATAAAGTCTCATACAGTCAACTGTTTCCATGCTGGCATACCCCACTGTTAATTGATTTCCCACATTTTCAAGGCAGCAGGAAATATCATTTTTAATACTTTTATTTTTGGCTTTACAGAATTACTGCAAAGATAGTACAAAGTTCCTGTAAATCCAATGGGGATACCCAGTGCCCCTATCATTGACATCTTACATTAGGATAGTATATTATTATTAATTATTACATATTAGTATAGTATTATACATTAGTATAGTGTTATACATATGCATAGTATGTGTGATATACATTATTCATTACTATAAGTGCTACTAATAATTATTATACATTAGTATGTATAACAATATATATTATAATATATATTATACATATGTATAGTATTATACATTGGTATTAGTATTAGCAATAATTACTATATGTTAGTATGGTATATTATTAGTATGGTGTAGTTATTATTATTAACTGAAGCCCATATTTTAACCAAAAGTATAAATGGTAAATGTTCTGGTATTTAAATATTGATCACTGTGATAGGCAGAATAATTGATTCCCTCAAAGATGTCCCAAATACATAGGCAAAATAATTGTTCTCCAAACATTTCAAAGGCTTTCTAATCTTTGGAACCTATGAATAGGCTACCTTACATGGCAAAAGAGACTGTGAAGATGTGACTGAGATAAAGGTTAAGCTAATGGAGAGACTGGGAGCTTGTCCTGGACTATTCTGGTGGACCCATGGGAATCACACATGTCCTATTAGAAGGAGGCAGGAGGGTCAGAGTAAAAGGAGCTGTGATGAAGGCAGCAGAGATAGGACTGATGTGGCCATGAGCAAAGGAACACTGGAAGCTTCCGGAAAAGGAAAATGGTCACGAGATGGATTATACCTGAGAGCCTCAGAAGAAATTGAACCTTGAAGATACCTTCAAGGGATAATGATGTTGATGATTCTCTTGCTAGTCCAAAATTATCTTTGTTCAGATTTCAAATCATGAGGCACATGTCCCAGGGGCCCAACCTAGACAAAAGAAAAGCTTTGTAGATAAAGTCTTATTAAGAGAAATCAGAATAGGCCATTGAGGATTTTTCTTTAGACCCTTGAAATTGAACAGACTGACAATACACTCTGAAATGGTGCTCTCTCTGCTTGCATAATTTTAAAAAGCATAGTCACCCCATCTGTAATGACACTTCACCTGCAAACCCAGTAAGACCCATTTTAGATTTCTGAACTGGAGGATAATACATGAGTGCTGTTGTAAGACTATGCTAGTGGTAATTTGTTGCAGCAGCAAAAGGAGCTAATACAGGCATCAATTCAATGAGAAAGAAATACTCTGTTCCATTAAACAGAGACTCATCCACTAGGCCCCCATTGTGCAGAGGGTGCATGTCTGCTGTGTGACGCTAGTCTTAAAGGGGACCGAGACTGTGCCCCCTCTGTATCTCAGACCTTAAAACAGCACTTGACACAGAGAAAAGACTCATTACATATGGATTAAAGTAATGCTTTTTAGCCCTTGAAGAACTGCTATATCAATGGTTGTCTTTGATATGCTATACATTCTTTATTCTTCTTTGGCAAGAAGTGTGAGAAATATCAACTCTATTTATCTCTGTCCACTTAGGGCTCCTGAAGTACTTATCCTTATTTCCAAGCAACTTTAAGTATGTCTTTGGTTTCTTATTATGGAACAAAATGAGATACATACTTAACGGTTTGCAGATTAAGTATCATTGCAGATGGGGTGACTATGCTTTTGAAAATTATGCAAGCAGAGGGATCACGGTTTCAGAGTGCATTGTCGGTCTTTCACTTTCAAGGGTCTAAAGAAAAAAAAACTCATTGGCCTGTTTTGATTTCTCTTAATAAGACTTTAATTGTGAAGCTTTTCTTTTGTTTGGGTTGGGCCCCTGGGATAAGCGCCTCATGACTTGAAATCTGAACGAAGATAATGTTGGACTAACAAGAGATTCATCAACATCATTATTCTTTAAAACTCTGCAAAGCCCAGTGTGTTTGCACCATTAGACTTCAGTTTTCCTCTGCAAAGAGAAATCAAAGGCGATATGAGAAGACCACACACACACACACACACACACACACACACACACACACACAAAGCACAGAAATGGGAATCTCAGGATCAATGCATTATTTTTTTTCCCAGAGAGGTTCTGATGGGAGAAAGGGCTTTTCTGCATCTCTTTCCCTACATCTTGCCCCTCCTGCCCACCCTTGTCCTTTACCCCTGCACAAACACATTGTAGACCCAGCCATTGGACACCACTCCTGTGTTTTCCCTGTTTCCTCTTTGACACCTCAACCCTGGCAAGGAAGGCATAGCCTATGCCATCCTGGGTAATTATAGTTTGAACACTTTTCCCCCCAAGTCTCATGTTGAAATGTGATCCCCAATGTTGGAGGTGGGGTCTGGAGGGAGGTGTTTGAATCATGGCGGCAGATCCCTCATGAATGGCTTGGCGCCGTTCCTTTGGAGATGAGTGAGTTCACAGAAGAGCTGATTGTTGAAAAAAGCCTGGTCTCCTCTCACTCTCTCACTGTCTCGCTCCTTCTCTCTCTTGCTCCCACCCTCCCCATGTGACGCACTGGCTCCCCTTAGCCTTCCACCATGATTGTAAGCTTCCTGAGGCCCTCACCAGAAGCAAATACGGGCACTATGCTTTGTGTACAGCCTGCAAAACTGTGAGGCAAATAAACATCTTTTCGTTATAAATTAGCCAGTCTCAGACATTCCTTTTTAGTAACGTAAAAATGGCTTAACACTCTAAGCCTGTTTTGAGCACATTCCATTGAGGTCTGCTCACAGGTGATTGTCTCCTCCACACACCTCTGTAATCTGTGCTGTTGCTATTAGTGTATCCCTCTCATGATGTCGCTGCTGTGGACACAGCCTGCGCCCCCTCCCCAGAGTTATATTTCCATAGACCTTGCTCTTCCTATATATTCCAGAAGCAACTCAGCTGGGGTGTGGCCAAGAAGGGTGACAATCACAGAAATGATTTCTCTCTTCTGCCTCCTTCAGGAAAATCTGGGCTCCAAAATCTGCTTCTACTGATACCTGGCTGTGGCCAAGGTCTTTCCACCCCTCCAAGGCCTCCATTTTTTTATCTTCATAAGACAGAACGATCCAACCTGCCTATCAGTATTGTGAGTGTGTCACGGCTCCCCTGAAGTCCTGCAAGTTCTTGACTGCAGGTTCCCAGGAAATGGCAGATGTGACTAGCAATGATTCATTCATTGTTTCATTAGTCAAGCCAGCTTCCCTGATGATCTACTGGGTGCAGGACTCTGGCATGGCAGGCTGTGCATTCTGCCCGTGCCCAGTTCACATTTCAGCCCTGTCTTTTGCTGCCTGGGTGAGCTGGGCTGAATTACAGATCCTTTGCACTTCAGTTTTCTCCCTTCTAAAATAAGTGCTACAGTGGCATTGCCCTCAGAATTGTTTTGCAAGGAAATCAAGGAGTGTCTTGCCTAATGTATGCAAGACACATAATTGGCCCTAGAAAATTTTAGATAATAATAATGCCACTATTACATTTATCGAAGGGCTCAGACAGTGTGAGTCCCGAGCTGTGTGTTAACCACTGCAATTATTGCTAGTAATGATGTTATTTTAAACTTGTTTAATTATTCCTATATGTACACAGTAGTGCACCCTTATTTGGGGTTTAACTTACACTGGTTTTAATTACCAAAGTTCAAAAATAGTAAGGTATTTTGAGATAGAGAGAAACCACATTCATAAAACTTGTGTTACAGTATATTGTTATAATTGTTCTACTTTACTATTAATTATTATTGTTAGTCTGTTATTGTGCTTAATTTATACTTTTATGATTTAAATTTTTTGTAGAGATAGGGTCCTACTATGTTGCCCAGGCTGGTCTTGAACTCCTGGCCTTAAGCAATCTTCTTGCCTCTGCCTCCCAAAGCACTGGAATCACAGACAAAAACCACCATAAACAACTTCCTAATTTATAAATTAAACTTTATCACAGTTCTATATGGATAGGAAAAAACATAATCTACGTAAGGTTTACACTATCTGCAGTTTCACACATACACTGAGGGTCTTGCACTGTATCCTCTGCAGATAAGGGGGAATGACTGCATACACATATATGTGCTTCTATGTGACTATCCACATTTAGATGCAGGAGTAGGTGCAGGTGGATACAGGTACGGGGTATACATAGATAGACATAGAGATGTGTTTTTCCTCTTCAAAGAGCAAGGACTTAGGAGAAAACAGAACTAACAAACTGGAACATAGATTTGAGGAACTTGCCCAGAACACAGAGAGACAAAGCCCTGAAAAATATTCTACAGAAGATAAGAGACATGAAGGATAAAATAGGCAGGTGTTCCATAAGATGAGAGAAGAATGAAGAGGAGCAGCATTTGAAGAGATGAATCTAAGCATCATCTTAAGTTCATTTTTGTGAAATGCACCTTCAGATTCAAGAATTTACATCAAAACCCCAAGCAGAAGTTTTCTAAGCCCGTGTCTAGATAGCACTTGGTGAGTAAATTCAAGCAAACTTTAAAAATACAAAATAGTGGCCAGGCGCAGTGGCTCACGCCTTAATCCCAGCACTTTGGGAGGCCGAGGCAGGCAAATCACGAGGTCAGGAGTTCAAGACCAGCCTGGCCAGCATGGTGAAACCCTGTCTCAATAAAAATACAAAAAATTAGCCAGGCATGGTGGCATGTGCCAGCTACTTGGGAGGATGAGGCAGGAGAATTGCTTCAATCCAAGATGCTGAGGTTGCAGTGAACCGAGATCTCACCACTGCACTCCAGCCTGGGCGACAGAGCGAGACTATGTCATATATATATG